GAGTGACCCCTTCTCTCAAAAAAAAAAAAAAAGGGTCGAAATTGGGCCAGCTGTGGTAGCACATACCTTTAATACCAGTATTTAAAGGCAGAGACAGGCAGATCTCTGAGTTTCAGGCCAACCTGGTCAATATGATAAATGTTAGGCCAGCCAAGTCTTCATAATAAGACCCAGCCATAAACAACTACAACAAAAACATCTAAGGAAAAAGAAAAGGCCAAAAATCTTTATCTAAAACGTTCCCTGTTTAAAAAAAAAAAAAAAGATGTCATTTATTCTGCTGTGGTCATGAGTATGGGAGCTAACAGGCCAAACCATCTGAGCTAAAGAACCTTGTTCAGTTGTTTGTTGGCTGAGAACTACCGTTCCAGTCAAGGAAATTTAGATAATTGTGAGCTCTTCCAACTGTATCGTCTTGACCGACCCAGAAAACAGAAGAGAAAGAGTCAGGCCTTGGTCTTGAGAGCATGACTTTATCACAGATTGATTCACTGCATGTGGACAAGCTCTCTGCAAAGGTCCCTCCAGTATTTGGTTTGGCTTTACAGCTGCTTCCTCTCCCTTTCCTTTCAGTATAATCTTTATGCCCTGGTAAGCCATTAGAGTATCCAAATGACTCGACGTTCTACATTAAATACTTTAAATATATTAACTCTTGGGTTGTCTAGGATCACGGGGCTCTGGGCATTCATGTCAGCACACCCTATCAGGACTTGACATTTGCTGTTGGGACTTGTTTTGTATTGACCATTCTACTGTTAGTCTCAGTGGTTCCACGTTACTTTTTGTGGGCTGCTGTTTTGGAACCAGTCATCTCTGTCTCCTGCAACTGTCCCCTCTGTTTTTGCCTCTCTTCATTTCCCTTCCTTGAAATTGATCTCATGGAAGTAGCTTTTAGAGGGTCTATTGAGAGAGAGGTGTGAGTATAAAACCCACGTGTCTTTCACCCAACTTGAACAATTATTTTTATGTTTTGACTGCATGTATGTATGTGTATCCCATGCATGTCTGGTTCCCTAGTGGGGCAGAGAAGGCATCAGATGCTATTGAACTGGAGTTACAGGTAGTTGGGAGCCACTGTGTGGGTGCTGGGAACCAAATTCACATTTTCTGCAAGAGCGGCAAATGCTCTTAACTGCTGAGCCATCTCTCCAGCCCCTCAGTACTTGACTTTAGACTATGTTTGTTTTCTCTTACTTTTATGCCAGAATATTTTAAAGTATTATAGACCTATCTGTAATTTTTTTAAGAGTATACCTCTTAAAAGGTAAGGATTTAGGAAATAACTGTCTTTCCATACCCAACAAGTTTAGTGATAATTTTTTATCCTCTAATATTTAGTTCCTGTTTTTTATCTCCTCAAAAATGTCTTTGGTTGTTTAACTTGAACCAAAATCCATGTATTGCATTTGGTTAACACATTACTTTGTTTTTCTGTTGCTGTGATTTAAACACCATGAACCAGAAGCAACTTGGGGAAGAAAAGGTTTATTACACCCCATCATGGAGGAAAGCCGGGGCAAGAACCTAGAATCAGGCACTGAACCCGAGACCAGGGAGGAATATTGCTTACTGGCATGCTCTGCCTGTTTTCTGGTGGGACTGGGGGGGGGGGGTTAGCTCATTTTGGTCAAGTGCTTGCCATACAAGCATGATGACCTGAGTTGGCTCCCAAGAACTCTTGTAAAACAGCCAAGCATGGTGCCATATGCCTGTAGTCCTAGCATTGGGGAGTTAAAAAAAAAAATCTAGGTTTGGCGCATGTGCTTTGTAATCTTGCACTGGGTAGGTAGAGATGGGCAATATGTGAACACATCAGCCAACTGACCTTGTCAAAATCCATGAATTCCAGGCTAGCAAGAGCCCTTGTCTCAAAAACAAAACAAAACAAAACAAAAAACCCAAGGTGGATGGCGTGTGGACCTCCTTCATGCACATAAATACATACATACACAGGTGGAAACTGGTTTCATCAGTTATTCAAAAACAGAATAGTATTGAGTGAAATATCAGTGTTTGCTATAGCCCTGTAGGAATCCTTCAGGCCGTTCTCCCTTCACCACAGAAAAGGTTTTAAGCCAGTAAAACCCCGAATCTCTAATGGGTAGGTTCCTGCTTCAGGACTTGGAACAGAAACAGCTCCCTTTCCTGCTTGTCTGTTTTGGGTTGACTCTGACTTTGTAACAGTTTGGTTCTGCCATTACCGATTTCCCTCTGTGTTGACTCTTCTGCCACCGACTGGCGAGTATGAACACGATTGTTCAGTCTATAGATTCAGGTTATTTTATTGCCGTAGTTAATGTGGCAGCCAGGCATGGTGGAGCACGCCTTTAATCACAGCACTCGGGAGGCAGAGGCCAGCAGAGCTCTGGAGTATAAATTAGTTCTGTCCATCATCCTTACTGAATTTATCAGTGCATTCCCCAGACTCCATTCTTAACCCTTTTAAAGCGTGAACCTAATTAGTCTTATCAATAAAAACCAGGAGTCAGATATTGGGGTATTAACCTGAAAGATGAGAGAAACAGAGGAGCAGCCACCAGTGACTTCTGACATTTCTGGATCCTCTGACCAATCTCTGCCCTGCCTTATCACTTCCTCTCTCTGCCTCCCTAGCGCTGGGACTAAAGGTGTGTTAACTATGGCTAGCTAGCTCTGCTCTCTCATCTCCAGGCAAGCTCTATTTGTCAGAACACAAACTAATATCACACAACACCCTTTCGTTTAGTATAAGCTGTTCTTTTGCTTCTGTAATTCATCCATAACCTAGTCTATATTTGTTTTCAATTTTATAGTTACTAAATCAAGGAGATTTAACAGAAAGACAGACCTGAGAATGCTGACTTCTAGAGGGGCAGCGCTACCTGACCCCAGAGTGCATGATGGGAACAAGATCCAAAAGGCTCACATTCTGCCAGAACTAAAATGAATCTGTGAAGGACAATGGCCTCGCCCTGCCTCTGTTCATCTTCCCTGGCAGAGAAGAGGGATGTCTGAGGGCCTCGCTTCAACCTCCATCTGATCCAGACAGAGGGAGGCGGTGACGATGGGCTGGATACCTGTAGCTGCCTCTCTCTCTTCCCACTGCAAAGTTCTGGGGTGGACTTCTCTCAAAAGCAAGTTTAATGATGTGTTGGATGAAGATTTTCATTGTGACTGTTCAGGTTTTCCTTTGAAGAGTCTTCATCCTAGACCCAACTGTCTTTTCATAGGGTTCAATGATTTCCTGCCTCCAGCCACAGAACTTCACCAGGACATTGACTTTTCAAGATGCCTTGTTGCTTTGAAGAAGGAAGTGATGTCAATTCTGTTGTGGCATTTTTCCTTTAGCAACCTGAGTAAAAGACTCTCAGCCACTGGGCTGTAAAATAAATTACTTGAATCTCCCCTTGGCCCAGGCTGAGGTACCGACTTACCCTGTACACCTCGACTTGGTCATTTTCTGTTTCGTTTATGGGACTTAAAATAGCATGTTATGAGGGGGGCTTGTTTATTTTTTTTGTTTTGTTTTGTTTAAGTTAAAAACCACATGATCTAGAGTTTCAGTTTTCCTTTTAAATAAACAAAACAACCCAGTCGGCTCTTTGGCTCTTGTTTTAGATCAGTGGTTCTGAACCTTCCTAATACTACAACCCTTTAAAGCAGATCCTCACGTTGTGGTGACCCCAACCATAAAATTATCTTTGTTGCTACTTCATAACTTTAATTTTGCTACCATTACGAATTGTAATGTAAATATCTGATGTGCGGTATATGTGATGGGGTCACGACCCGCAGGTTGAGAACTGCTGTTTTAGACAGATGTGTTTTTAGAGAAGAAGTCAAGAAAATAATCCAGTCTTTCTCTTTAAGATAGGGCACTGAAGGCCGGGCGGTG